GCGGCCGCGGTGGCAACCGAGAGCGCCGCTGACGACGCCGCGGCCGCAGCGCGCTCGGCCGCGGCAATGCGCGCCTCGCTCTCCCGCGGCGCGCCCGAGCACGCCGCGGTCTCGCGCGGCGCGCCGCTGCGCACGGCCGCGGTGGCTCCGCCGCTGCGCACCGCGGTGCCGCTGGCGCCGCCGCCGCCGCCGCCGTCGCCGCGGCTTCCACCGTTTGCCGCGTGCGACGTCATCCGGGACATGGAGCGCGGCGACGGGGCGCACGGGCCGCTCGTGGATTACATCGAGGACGGCAAGCTAAAGCCGGCCTTCGCGTCGGACAAGGGACTGTTCGAGCACCGCATGATCCAGTACGTCGCCATCCGTTACTACCACAGCACCGAGACAACGGCGAATAAGCTCCTCAAATTCGGCCGCATTGCCAGGAAGGCCGACGCCACGTTGCTCAAGTTCAAGAGTTGGTACGCCATTACCGTGCACGTCGTGCGGGAGGCGCGAGGAGGCCGCCTCGACAACACCGCCGTGTGACGCCGTCCCACATCATACCTCACGACACCGTCTCCCGGTGCCGACGAGCAGCCCATTTAATCCTTCTGACCCGGTATGCGTACGGGAAATTTTTAGACTATGGGAGCGGCGGCGGCGAAAGGACGGACGGCGGCCCGGCGGCAGCGCCACCGTAAAGGACAGAGGGTGGAGGGCGGTCCGGCGGCAACGCCGCCGTTATCGATCGCGGCGGATCAGGAGGCGCTGTCGGCGTCGAAATCGCGCCGACGTCGAACTCCTCCACGAGGCGGGGCGTGCCTGCGCCGGGAGATTGTGGTAGAGGGCCGCTTCCGGGCCGTAGTCTCGAGGGATCGTCGCGGGCTTGAGGGGCATCGACGGGCGGCCTACACGGGGCAGAGCTCTCGGCACGCATCTTCAGCCGGTTGGAGTAGACACGCGGGGGGAAGGCTCTGCGGGCGGAGAATCACCGGAGCGTGGCCGCTGTTCTCAAAGTCAAGGTCGTAGCAGCGCGCGCCCCACTTGACGGAGGACTTGCGGATGGTGTGCGGCGGCGACTCCGGCTCGAGGGCCGGCGGCGACTCGCTGCGCGCCTACACGGGGCAGAGGTCGGAGTTAACCGGGGGGCTGTGCATAGACTCGCCCGAGCGTGGCCGCTCTTGTACCTGATCTCCCAGTCCTGGTCGTAGCGGTCGTAGCGGCGCGTGGCCCAGTTCGGGTGGCACCGCGAGCCTAGGGGCGGACTTCCGGCGCGCTTCCAGCGCGGGCTGGCGAGGGCGGCCCGGTCGGGCCCCGCACGCACCGCGGCGGCGGACTTCAACTTAGGGGCGCGGGCTTCCGGCGCGGGCGGGCGAGAGATGAGGGGACGGCGGCCGGTTCCCCGGACGCCCGAGGCCTCGGACGGCAGCCCGGTTCCCCGGGCGCCCGAGGCCTCGGACGCACAATGGCCTCGCACGCACCACGGCGCGCCTGGTACCGCGAGATGCGCACAGCGATGCGGCGACAAGCTTCAGGCCGCCGCTGAGCGTTTCCGGGAACTCGTCTAAGTCTAAGGATATCTTATTTGAGGACCCTTCGGGTCCTTGCCGTTTATTCAACGTCAGTTTACGGTAAGGGCCCTTCGGGTCCTTTGATTGAAGGATTACCAGGGGCAATTATGTCTGTCTGTCCGTCTGTCCGTCCGTCTGTCTGTCTGTCGCCGGGTCCATCCGTGAGGTTCCACCTTTGGGAAGAAAAAAACAGCAACTCGGCCGATTTAGCGATTGGTGGTTGATGCGATTGCTAAAATTGGGAGTTGAGGTCGAGCAGGAGCCTCATTGGAATCATCATAGAATAAGTTTTTGGTCACAGGTTCGAATCTGGTCGGCCGCAAAAAAAAGAAAAAATAAATAGCTCAATAAGAAATAAAATAATAAAAATAAAGATAAGGAGGATTTGAAAGTTCAGCGATTAGTTAAATAATTTCAATTATTTACGTGGGCATTGCAATGGGATTTGGCTGTATCCTTCGGGTCCTCCGTGTGCCTCCGGCGCGCTCTTGTAATAAAGCGAAAACCTCGTCGTGTCTTCCGGATCCGCAGGCCTTGGCGCGCCCTCGCTGGGCCGCCGTAAGCCTTCTGCGCGTCTTGGGGACGATGCTGCAGCTGCGCCGGCGGGCGCTCTGCCTCGTCGGCGGCGCGGCCGTGCTCTGGGCCACCGCGCTCTTCGCAGCCGCGTCCCGCGCGCCGCACATCGCCCAGCGGCCGCCGCCGCGCGCCGACTTCCTCGACGGGCCGCCGGCGCGCCCGCCCGACGGCCTCCGCGGCGCGCGCCGCGCGGCCGCGCCGCCGCCCGGCGGCGAACCGCCCGGCGCGGCGCCGACGGACGCCGGCGGCCCGGCGTGGGTGGCCTTTGGCGACGTCCGCGAGGTGATCACGGCGGAGAATGGCGCGTGGATCCTGCCGCAGTCGTCGTTCCCGCGTGTTTCGCCGGGCACGGGGCCAGACGAGTTCAACGACCTCCTCGTCGCCGCCATCACGCGTCCGCAAAGCCGCGTCCGTCGCCCCCGCGCGCGCCGGCTGGGGCCCTCGGCGGCGCGCCCGGACCCCGCCCCCTCCGCAGGCGAGCTCGCCAAGGCGTGGCCGCCGCGCGTCCTGGCGCACCTCGCGCAACGGCTCCTCGCGCGCGCCTTTGAACTCGACCTCGAGCTCGAGGCGTCGGAGCGCTCCGCGACGAGGACCCGCGCCGCGCTGCTGGCGGAGCGCGCGGCCGCGGACCGCGTTGCTACAGAGCGCGCGGACGCGGCCCGCGCCGCCGCGGATCGCGCGGCCGCGGGCGCCGGTGCGGCGGGGCGGCGCACGGCGCGGCCGGCCTCGGCGTCCCGGGGCTCGCGCGACGACGGCAGCGACGCACCGCCCGATGTTTCTGCGCCGCGCGGCCCCGGTAAAGTGGCCTTCCTCTTCCTCGTGGGCGGCGCGGTGGCGACGGAGCCCATTTGGAAAGCGTTCTTCGCACCAGAGTTCGCAGCCGACCGCTGTTCCATTCACGTCCACCCGCCGCGCGGCTTCGTCGCCGCCCGCGTCCCATGCACGCGGTTGTTCGGGCCGCCGCTGTCCGCCGCCTTTGCCGCGTCGACGGTCGCCCGGTAGGTCATGGAGGCGGGGGCGTTCTTCGCGCCCTACGCGCTGCCGCAGCGGCAGCGCGTGCGCGTCACCTGGGGTTCGCTGGCCATGGTCCACGCGGAGCTCGTCCTCCTCGCCGTCGCGCTCCGAGAGCCGCGCAACTCTCGCTTCATCCTCCTCAGCGAGGCAGACGTACCCCTCTGGCCCTTCCGATGCACCTACGACGCCCTCGCCTCGGCGCCGGACATGTCTTTTGTCGAATCGAGGCCGACGAACGAGAGATGGGAGATGTTCGACTTTGACGCGATTAACGCGTCCTGGCTGGCGGCGCCGCCGACGGCCGAGACGTGGCGCAAGGGCTCCCAGTGGTTCACCCTCTCGCGAAACCACGCCAAGCTCCTCGCGCGCAAGCGACACATGGTCGACTGGTGCGGCACGCCCCCACGGAGAGAGCCCCCTCGCGCCCGAGAGGCGCGGCCCGCTCCCGAAGGCGGCCTTTCGCGCGCCGAGCCCCCCGGCGCAGGTACGACTCGTTTGCGAAGCGGCAAATGCTGCGGCCCAAGCTGCGGCGCCTCGGGCCCCTGGCCACCGCGCGGCACTTCGTGGCCAAGCCGTCCTTCGCGGACGAGCACTTCGTTCAGGCGACGCTCGCGCAAAACGGCGCCGAGGCGGGCCTCGTGCCCGTGTCGCTCCACTTTGCCGCCTTTGGCCGCAAGGGAGAGTTTACCGTCTGGGGCAATGGCAAGAGTGCGCCCTTCCGCCTCGACGCCGCAGAGTGGCACGCCGTCCAGTTCGGCGCCCTCTCCTTCGACCTCGTTGACCGCCTCCACGAACTCTGCGCCTTTGACCTCGAGCCACGCGCGCCCGGCGGCGAAAACGCCCCGCTGCGCCGGACGCCGCGCGGCCGCTTCGAGCCGGCGCGGCTGCGGTGCGCCTTTACGTCTACGCCTTCCAATGGCACGGGCGCGCCGTGCTTCCTCTTCGCGCGCAAGCTGCACTCGGAGGCTGTGAATTATTACTCGGAGGCAACGGCGACGTACTTTTTGCAGCACCTCGACGATTCCCTGCGGCCCGCTTTCGACGCCGCGCGAGACGCGCAGCGCAGCGGCGCGCGCAGCGAGATCCGGGCCACCCTTGGCGGCGCGGGCGCCGACGCGGCGCCGAGCGGTGACTACGCGCGGGCGGATTTTGATCGAATCGCCGCCGCGATGCCAGACCTCTTTCCCCCACCCGCTAACTCATGAGAGCACCCGCCAGGACCTCTCGTACCGTGGGAGGGGCTTGGAAACACCTGAGACGCATCACCGGATCGCCCGCCCCTGTTGCACGAATTTCATGTGGAGGCTTCCAAGGAGGCTTCCTTGCTCAAGGTTGAGGATGCAATGACGATCCGTGATCCCGCAGCCGGACCCCGAGGACCTGCCTATCTTCGTCGACCGCTGCGGCGACGTGCGTGGAAGGATACTTGACTCTCCCGACGGCCCGCACACGCAGAGGACGATCCGCGTGTGACCCGACCGACGGGACTGTCCAGGAAGTGGCGATGTGGGAGCTGGGCTCCTTTGACCTCCTCGCGAGCGCAGTCTTTGGCATGCGGCCCCGGGCCGGTCGACGACGGAACGTTCCGGCTGGGCCGGAGATGCGTTCAGGACGTTCGGACTGTGCTTTAGCGGAGGGTGCGTCGTGGGCTTAAGTGGCCTGATGTGGTGGTTTGGCAGTTCATCAGACTCGTCTCGTGTCACTGCGGTTGTCGATGCGGAGAAAACGATCTTTGTCTCTCGGACTGGTCGACGGGGACGCCACCTGCCAGTGGGTGCTACGACCGAACCTGAACAAAATTGTAATCGCCGAAATTCGAAGTGGCGCCAGCGCGCAAAAATAAAGGGGATGTTCAGAAACCAACGTCGGGATTCGAACCCAGAATCTCATGATTCGCAGTTATGCGCCTTGTCCATTGGGCCACGCTAGCGCTTCTGGTGGTTGCGGCGAGTTCACCTGTAATAATTTGAATGATGTCGCCCGATGATTGAAAATTCTAATTCTTCGACAAATCTATCTTGATTGGAAAGGCTCGAGAATATATACCGTTGCAACAGTACATTCGTGGTACCGATTTTCTCTTGGAGCCAAAGGGGGTGAGAAAACCACTTGATCCAAGAGGCAGCCGAGGCTGAACATCAAGGAGCGGCTGTTGACATGAAATAAAGACACCATCTGTCACTGACGTATGCCCGGGGTGAGAAAACTACTTGATCCAAGATGCAGCCGGACTAATAACAACAACAATAACAATGGAATCTGACTGGTCAATCAAGGAGCGGCTGATGACACGAGAATCAGACACCAACTTCACTGACGTATGCCCTGGAAAAAGGGATTCCGGTCTCAGTGCCAGGAGACAGTTAAGAAAAGTGTATATAAACACATCCCATTTTTTAGCGAGGTCTGTACTCAAACTCGAACCAGCGTACCTTAATTTCACTTGCAGATTTTCCGAGTTTATTTTTACGCACAGCCGAGACTCGAACCGGTGTCCTCATTTTACACGCTTTTAGTAGACGCAGTAGACCTTATACCTTTGAGCACACGCAGCGAACGCACTCGCAAGCGAGGGAACGAAACGTCTCTCTGAAGGTGATGTCACAATGGTTCAGACGGGAACTGAACCGTTGGAGCCAAAGGGGGTTTTGAACCATTGTGACATCACCTTCAGGGAGACTTTTCGTTCCCTCGCTTGCGAGTGCGTTCGTTGCGTGTGCTCAAAGGTATTAGGTCTACTACGCCTGCTAACAGCGTGTAAAAGGTTTTACACGAGGTTCCCGGTTTGAGCCCGGCTGTGTGTTATTTCTGAAATTAAGGTACGCCGGTTCGAATCCGGGTTTGGGTACAGACCTCACTATAAAAAATGAGATGTGTTTATATACACTTTTCTTAACTGGCTTCTGGCACTGGGACCGGAATTCCCTTTTGCCGGGGCATACGTCAGTGAAAGAAGGTGTCTTATTCTCATGTCAACAGCCGCTCCTGGATGCCCAGTCCGGCTGCATCTTGGATCAAGTGGTTTTCTCACCCCCACCCACCCACCCTTTTTTCTTCTTCTCCGTTGGCCCATTGCTGCCTCTCCGCGTCGCATCGGGACCCCGCAGATGCTCCGCTCTGGGCGTCGCTGCTGGTCGATAGGGTCAGAGGATTTGAATATCCCCCATAATCCCTTTGAATTCATTTTCGGTGTTCTTCGAGAGTCTGGGCCGACGCGCAGTGACAAGGAGCCTCGAGAGTGACGTGGAATTTTGTGTCGTAGGACCGCGCCCTCGTTCGACTTCCTCCTTCCACCAGGTATGCTCGGCGTCCCCTTTTCTGACGGAAATCTACTTCAACTCCGGTGGACTCATTGTCACTGCTCGTCCACGCCCTGCTCTTCCACGACACGCGCCGAGTAAGCCATCCTCTCACCCACCCAGGGCGGCTCGCTGTGACGGGGGTGGTCTGCCGACCCCCCCCCACCACCCACCGTGTTCTTAAGTGTTCTGTGAGAGCTTGGCCGGCACGTGCAGTGACAAGGAGCCTCGAGAGGAGCTTTGAAATCCTTCTATACCGTAGGTCCGCGTCCTCGTCGGACGCGTCCCATCCGCCAGGTATACTCGGTGTCCTCTTTCTACGGAAATCTTTGGAGCTCTCTTTGTCACTGCTCGTCCACGCCCTGCTCGTCCAC